TGATTCTTAGATCCTTTTATGAGACTATCTACACGACAGATGTCGCCCATAATAACATTTATTATTTGTAACCAATATCGATTTTTTTCATAAATTCAAATCAGTAAATAAAAGTTTTCGCATGAATGCATTGTTTATGTTTTTATATAAATATATAAACTTGAAAACAATAAAAACATTAAATGACTAAAATATTTATATTTTGAAAATAATGACGAATATACAATTAAATATACAATTAATCGAATAGTTGATATTTTGAAAGTTTTGATAAAAATTCTGTATGTAAACCATTATTATTTCGGTAGAGGTTCTACAAAATTTTGAAAGAAATTTTAAATGAGTAATATATTTCTCTAGAAGAAAACCTATTTAGAAAATTTTGAAAGATATCATATACTTTTACTCAATTTTAACTTTTCCTTTTAATTTATAAGATTTTACTATTAAAAAAACAAGATAAAGAAAAAGCAAAAGACTCACCAATAATCGTCCCATCCGGGTTGGCTCTTGGACCTTCCATAGTGTCCGTACGGAAACCCGAACTGGTGGGGGCGTTTCGCGTTTTGAAACGCGCAGCAGCCGATTGAGTAAACCGCGATAAGGACGACGATCACGACGACGTTAAGCACCAAGAGTTTACGCCAATCGCGACGCACAGTCTCCATAACGCCCGCCCTGCACGAGTCGCAGTCGTAACAAAGCACGTTCGCGTCGTTGTTCCAGCGGTTGCAGTCTGAGTCTTGCTCCACCATCGTCGCCACGTTGTAAACGCACGACGTCGGCGGTTTGCAGCATCCTGACTGCACGCGCGTTTTACGTGTAATCGCGTTAGTGACAGAAGATTAGGTGTATATATACACACGTAACACACATATATGTATGTATGTATGTATGTATGTATGTGTATACCTGAATGGGAGTGAGGTCGTTGTGAAGATAATCAAGAGGAGTCCAAAGGGCAACCTTGGAACAAGCCATGGAACCCAAAAGACAGCTCCTGATAGTGTTCCAGTACTGATAAACCCTAACCCTGTTCCTTAACCATGGATGATAATCTTCAACCCTGTATTCTTTATAAACCCTACCCGCAACACCGACACCTCCGCCATGGCTTGTGACCACAAATCCAAACACGGTCAGGCCCATCAGAGCAGCTATTACGAGGATCATCACAAAGAGGTAGACCCAAAGCGCACATGCAACGTTGCAGCATGCACCGACCAGACCTGCTAATGACATGATTAAGATCGCTAAGCCCAGGATTAGCAGTGGCTTTTGCAGGAAATGCTCGCATGTCTTGTTTGATTTCGCCATCCCCAGAGCTCCTGCTATTATGGCAATGGAGGCTAGGAGTGTTAGGCTGTTCAGTATCCCTATCACCGTGTTGCTTGTTCTGTACATACTTGGTTGTGTTTGTGATTCAATGAATGATTCTGAATCTCTCTCTCTCTCTCTCTCTCTCCCCTTTTTCCTTTTCTCTTTGTTGGGTTTTGAGGGTTCTCTTTGCTGGGTTTAAAATTCTAAGTGAGTGTCCTCCTTTATATCAGAAATATTTCTTAATAACATAAGCTTAAGCTGCTATATATAATATATATATATATGGAGAGAGACAAATGTGGGGATTAGGTTAAAGGATATACTTTTTATAAAATTCTAATAGTTTCTCAATATTATCTAGATAGCTTCTAAAAATTTAATTTACGTTTCAACATGCATTTCCTTTTTTTTTTTAAGTGCATGGATTATGATTACATTCAATTAAAGAAAAACTGTATATATTAATATAGATATGGTGTTCCTCATGTACGCATATGATTGAAATTCAAATAAACTATGTGAACACCGCAACATTAAAAAAAATTTGGGAAGCCAATGCCTTTTTTTTTATTTAAAATCTGCTTTCACTATTTTAGTATTTTTGGCTTTGCCGCTTTATTTCTCTGCCTTTATTTCATCACTTTTAATCAGTGGGTGTGCCTTTCTATACGTATTTTTTATTTCTTTTTCCCTTTTTTTTTTTCTTGGGACTTGGCTATTAAGCTTCTTAACCATTAAGTAACCAAACGACGAAGATGATTTCACGTATCGTAGCATTTTGTAGGCTCGTACTATATATACGTATATACCGTAAAAGATCTAATGGGAAGCGACGTAATCACGTGAGGTTTTGCCATAACGAGATAACATTATCTTCAGACATCGCTAAAAGCTCCATAACCATTCCAACGAACCAACAACGTTTGATTTCTGAAATGCCCAGTTTTTTCTTTTTTGTTCTTATTGAAGAGAATCCCCAGATGAAGGGGGATTTCTCTCACTTGTGTACGTTGAAAAGCATGAATCTTTCCAGATTTCAGACATCCTCGTATTATTGTTCTTCTTCTTTCTTCTATGCGACCTGTCGCTGCGTATGCTACCGCCATGGATGAGACCTTGATCAACCATGGCTACTTGGGAAACAGAGTATCAGCCAAAAACTATTTACGGGTCGGTGAGGCTGAAGCTGAACTCCCATAGTTTCTTGGCCAAGTTTCCATCTTTAGCCTGAGAGCTCGGATTTGCGACATTGTTGTCCATGAAGTATTCGCCATTCACTCCCTCAACTTGCGGATGAAGCGCAACATAACACGTAGTTGAAGCCCCCTGAAATCACACAGAGATATGAACATGCTTGATGCGTATGTGTATGCGTATACGTAAGGCGAGATGATGAACGTTTTGAGCACGGTGATGAACTTGGAAGCCAAGAAGATGAGGAAGAAGACGGTCTAGACCTGTGGAATACTCTTCAGCACATACTTGCCTACCAGATTTCCGATTTCTGCATAAAAAAAATAATAATAATAAGTGAAGATGGTATCAGCTAATCACAAGCCTAAACGCAGTTTACATTGCATACTTGCACATGATTGTGTACACTGGATATCGCATGAACAAGACATTATCCAGAGAAGGAAGGAATAACGGTGAAGAAGTATATAATGAGCAAGAGAAGTTACTGTTTATGACGCTGTGGTAGCGTAAGAGATTGGTCATAATGGATCCGGGATGAAGGGAGTTGGCTGTGATATTCACCCCTTGTTCCTGTTTAAGTAAAACCCAATGGTTGATTGATAAAAAAAAAAAGTTAGCTCCTTTGGACTTCTCTTCAACGGATATCGGTTTTCGTAATATATGTTACCTTGAGCTGCCTAGAAAGCTCTTTCGCATGCAATATGTTACATAGCTTTGACTGACCATAAGCTTGCAACGAGTTATAGCTGCAACAATAGTAAGATCGGGAAGAGTATCGTTGGTGATAAAGGTGGAGATCGAAGCGAGAAGCAGAGAGGTGTGAACGTAACAATCACCTTGACTCGTCGTTTATTTTGTCAAATCTAATTCCTTCCCAGTAAGCAAACCGATGGCCTTCGGAGGAGACGATAACTATCCTTCCTTCTCTGTTGCTTTCCTGAGCTGTTGTCTTCATTATGTCCAAAAGAAGGTTTGTCAGCAGAAAATGACCTGCAAAAATCAGATTCTTATCTCTCCATCTATATGTAGGAACATAGTTGCGTAGAGAAATTCTTTCCCGGCAAACCCTAAAAAGTTCGTAATATTTACCGGGAACCCGAAAAATAAAAATTCACAAAAGCAAGAACGGAGAATCATATGTTCACTTGATTAAACATACCCAGATGATTGGTTGCAAACTGCAATTCAATGTTGTCACTGGAAAGCATGAAAGGAGATGCCATAATCCCTGCATTATTGCTTCAGACAAAGAATGAACAAACCCAAAATCAAGTTAATCAACTCCACTAATTCAGCAATTACTTGAACAGAACAAACACCGATGAACAATGAACTTAGCCATTTACACGAGAAGATTCAGCGGAAGACCAGAGGACTTGTACTCTGACGCAAAGTTCCTCACAGATGCCATTGAGCTAAGATCTAACTTCATCACATCGATCTTGGCTTCGGGATTTCCCTTGAGAATTGCTCCTCTGACTTGATTCCCGGAATCTGTGTTCCTAACAGCCATAATCACATGTACACCGCGAAGTGCAAGAACACGAGTTGTCTCTTGTCCAATACCACTCGAGGCACCTGACACGAACCGATATAACATCATTGTAGTCAAACCCTAAGGATCCATGGCGAAGTGAAAGGAAAGGAAAAGAGATGAAGGGACAGGAATATGATCTTCAAAAGTGAAACAAAATCCATCGATGGATGATCTATCACCAAGAACGAGAAAAGTTCCTATATTTATCATCCAGCATTAAAGTAAAACGATAGGTTCCTGTCAGATTCAAGATTCTTACAGAAAAATTAGCAAACCCTTTTCTCTAGGTTACAGGATATCCTCCCAACACCAGCAGAAACTTTAAGAGCCCAACGGAATTTTGATCGTTTCGTCCACTACAAGATACTACAACCGCCTATAGTTTGACTCAGTTCAGAGACAGAACCGAAGCACGGAACTGAAACTGTAACAAAATTGGAAACTGAAGCAAACCCAGATCGCAAAAAGTGGAAGAACATCTGGAAAAAAAGGTAAGGGATCAGGGAAAAAAAGAAAAACCCGTGACAATGGCGGTGAGACCAGTGCCGTCGACTCCATGAGTGACTTCTTCAGCTGTGGAACGAGCTGAGAACCCAGACGCCCCTTTCCATCCGAAAGGCCACATTTTTTCCTCTTCACAGAAATCCAAACAAAACCCTAGAATTCGCTAACGGAGTTCGACTTTTTCCCCCTTTTCAGAAGAAACCCATCTTCATGCGGTAAATTCACAGACTTGATTCGCCATCGTTTTCACCGATACACGTTGAAATGTTTTTACACATTATACTTATTGATACACCTTCTTCTATCAAAATATCTAAAACATCACTCATTATCAAAAGACCAATTTATCTTTTTTTCATTATAAAAAACGTGTATCATCCACTTTCCAATTAAAACAAATATATTGATTATAAAATAAAATAATTAAAATGTAAATGTTAAAAAAATACATCTTTGTTCATCTACTCCATCGAACTCTTTACACCATCGTTACTATTGCACAAACTCACGATTACAGATTTTTTGTTTTCTTTTTTCGCATTTAAATTTGATAAAGATTTACAGCGAAATTTAAAATTATAAAAATATAGATAATTTAGAAAAAAGTATTTTGATCATAAAACTGATGTTAGTTATAGTATTTCAGTAATTTTCTAGTGACTGTTATAGTAAATGACAAAATATTGATCCTAATAATAGATTCATTATTAGATTTATAATGAAGTCAAAATAGAGTTATAATTTTCTCTCACACGTGAGAAAAAATATGGCTGCCTTTATTATCATACAAAATAAGTTTTCTACTACTTACGAATAATTTATAATCATATTACGATTATTTAGAATTGTTAAAGTATCTAAAGATCTTAAATTTGCCGAGTTTTGATCGAGATATAATTGATATAAACATTCTAACTAGTAAATATGAATTTGAAGCCATAATTTGTGAATTTTATAACTTTTTACAACTATTTGGTTATACACAATATTAACTTGTTTAGAATACTTCTTATAATTTATAAATTTATAAAATTTTGTAAATTAGAGTTTCAGAATCATAATTATTGTTCGCGATGTTTCCTCTTCTTTTTGTGCAAGCCACAGAATCAATTATTGTGGGCCGACCACGTAAGCTGTCACCTCTTCTTCTCATGTAGAATCCGCCAAGAAATACAACAAATGATGTGATAACTTTTATATATATATATATATATATGTGTGTATATATGTATATAAGTATGTCTAAATATTCTATATTTATAAATCTGTCGATACACCAATAATGTTTATCACTTCAGTTGTTACCATTCGGATCTCGGCCTTGGTTTTGACGACAAAGTAGGATGGGCATGAAGAGGAGTTGGGTCCCAAAGATTTATGTGATACATTACCAATTACCAAATGTCCGTATTACCCTTAAGAAAGAGGTGAAAAGACATTGACGCCCTTCATGAATTGGAGCTTAGGAGTTACTAAGTTAGGAAGATGCGAGAACATTTGTCAAGGGACGCTCTTTTACATTTGTTTCTTTGTTCTTTTTTTTTTTTTCCGTTTTCTTATTAACATATAACAAATTAATCATGATATGAACACATCAGGTCGATTCATAAAAAATATTTATTTTAATAAAGATTTTAAATATTAATTTTCAAAAAGTACGTACGAGTATTAAAATTTACTAGTATTTATATTTATTAATATCTACTTTTAAAATATAGTTTTCTAATATTTTTATATCAGTCACCTAAATTACCATATAATAAATATTTTTATATTTTCTAATTTAAAAAGAAATTATAAATCATTTTTTCAAAAAGGCATAAGATTAATTAGAAAATTAACTTTTGCTTATAAGAACCATATTTTTGTGTTTGTGCAAGTAATATGGTATCTAAAGGACATATTATGATTTTGTGCAAGTAATATGCCCATGAAAACAAGGATAACTTCTGTTTGGTCCTATTTAGTGGAAGCTCATACAAACCACACTAAACATAACTTAACTTGGGTCTGTCGAGACAAACCCATACAAAAAAAAAATAAAAAAAGCATACGTAATTATAAATTGGGTCTGTCAAGAAAGAAACCCACAACAAGTTAAACTTTAAAATGGACCGTATAGAAAAATAAAAGCGAATTTAGTAACCGGCGAGAGTTAAAGAAAAAAATACTGCAAATTTCTGAACTTGTAATTTTGAGACAAATCAGCAAGGAAATACCACATAAACATAACGATCTATTAGACCCGATCATAATTCATAAATAAATCGGGTTAAATCGAATCAGGTCATAAATAAACCAGATTTAAACAAACCGGATCATAAATAAACTGAGCTTAAACGAACCGGTTTGAATATAGAAAACGGGAAAAAACGGTTAAGAGGCCAATAGATGTACCTTTAAACGGTTATTTATTACCAAGTTTCTTGGAAAAAAAATATAAAATAAATAAATATACACATAAAGAAAAGGGTAGAACAATTTTTTTTTAAATATTTGCACCATGTCATATGAAAAAACAAATGGTGCATGACAAAATGGCATAGCTACTAAATCGGATATACGAAAAGAAAAATCATTCACCATATAAAATTTTAACCATTAAAACATCATGCGGGTTCTGACGTTGTAAAAGTTACTAATATAACTCGTGTAATTTAGAAACGGGACAAAAACATCTAGTGTTATGAAATCATCCTCAGGGACAAAAGCTCATTACTCTTCCAAAACTCATTTAGCGTTGTGAATACCTGCTCGACGATGAGAGAGACCCCCTGGAACCACTCCACTGGTCTCCTTCACCGGCTCGTTCTCGGCTGCTGGTCCACCGGTCAGGCCTCTGCCCCGCCGGTCCTCGGCTTCCCCAGTGGTCATCCCCTGCCGGTGGTCGGTTAGCGTTACTTCCACCCCACCGGTCAGATTCCGAACCTGCAGGTGCTGGTGCCGAGATTCCACCTTCTTCAGTGGTTTGGCGCCTGAACCTGGGAACGTATTTGCCAGCAACTGTCGACTGGCAGTGGCAGCAGAAGCAGGTTCGGCGAGGTGAGGAGGGGAAGCCTCGGTTGGTTTCAACAGGGTTTTTCGCCTCAGCCTCTCTTTCTCCTCCGCCTCCCGTTCTCTTTGCCTTTGCTTCTCCGCAATCTCATCCAGCTTAGCTTTCCGCTCGGCTTCTTCCTTTCTCCTCCTCTCAGCCTCTGCATCAAGTTTTAAGACAAGTATACACCATTAATAAGATAGCAGATCATGAAACAGAACTAGAACGAATAACAAAGTGATGCATATCTATTGAAACAGCTCCTCTACCTTCTCGCTGGCGACTTTCCTCTTCTTCTCGCAGCTTTGTTATTCTTTCTTCTTCGCACGTCAAGTAGTATATCTGTTTTCTCTTGACATCTCTCTCTTGTTTCCTAGCTCGTATTATTTGTCTGATCCGCTCCTCTTTCTCTGCCCTTAGATGGTCGAACTCTGCTTGTCTATGCTTAATCACTCTCTCCTGGAACACATTCTGGAACCAAAACATTCTGTTTCAGTTACTCGTAAAACAAAAACAAGTCCAAAGACACGACAAGAATCACAGATTCAAGATAAGCTCAGATATACAAAACAACGCTCAAAGAATTGTTAGTACACTTCGACCTCTGAACAAGTCGTACTAACCTTACTATCCAACATTCTGGCCAATCTGTTCTTTTCCTTCAGGTCACTCTCGTGCCGTGCTCTGCTGAGCTCAACCTCCCTCTGAAAAACAGGAAATTTTTTTAGGATCTAATAGACCTTGAAAGAACCCAGTTCTAAACAAGAGATCAACATTGCGGTAACAACAAAAAACTGTGAAAAAATATGAAAGATCTGTTTTGAAAAAATTAAATTCAGGAGATAGCAAACATGGCAGTATCCAAAGAGAACAAAACGCGGATCACACAAAAACATACTTGTCCAATACCCTAAACACGGATAGTTCAAGGATAAAAGAAACATGAGTTGCCCACAGGTACTCTATGCTGGGAAATTTATGCTGTAAAGAACTGTTTAAATGGCTACCTGGTGCTCGCGTTCATGAAGTTCCCTTTCTTCCACTAAACGTCGCTGATATGCAGCTTCGATCAACGGAGCAGCCTCTTCTTGCTTTGCTCGTTCCAAATAATCCATAGTTTTTGCAAGTTTTTGGAGCTTCTTCTCCATCTCTTGCCTCTCCTTCAACTGCTCACTCAAGGCCCTTTCCATCACACTTTGTTTTGTCACCTTCTCCTTCATTTAGTTTAAGTTTCCAAACACCCATTAAATATTTACAGGGAAAAGAGAAACAAGAATGCAGAAAAGGTGTCTCCAAGACAACAGCAAGCCAATATTGAGAAACTTACTCCATCTAAAAGTGTCTTCTTTTTGCCCTTCTTCAGGCGTTTCTCAGTGTCCTCCAGTAATGCCTGTGCTTCTTCAAGCTCCCTCTCCTCTATCTCCCGAAGGATCCTTTGTCTCCTCCTTTCCTCAAGCTCGGCAGCAAGTCTCTTCTGTTCCGCCTCTTCAGTTATCCTCTGAATCTTGAGCCGTTTCTGCTCCTCTTCTCGTTCCTTTAGAATCAAGCAGAAAATAGACGAATTGTTTCCTGCAGGCCTAAAGGCTAAAGTATGAACATGATCTTCATGTAAAACAAATACCATTTCCAATTGCTGACGCTCCACTTCTTCCTTCCTCTTCTCGATGATTATTTTCCGTGCAATCAGTCTTTTGTGCTCCTTTTCCACAGTCTCTCCTAGAGTTGGTAATGTGCCACCTAGTTTTGATGTTTTACTCGGAGTAGGATATAGCATAGCTCTTAGTTCGTTCAAAGACTCAGCAAGAATAGCCAGATGGTCCCGCAGACCATCAGACTCAACACCCTGGTGCAAATAATTGGTTGAAAAAACAAATAAAAATCAGCACAATAGCCAGGAGTGGGGCAAAAGGTATAATAAGTATTGAAGCAGAGCATCAACAAATGCGTACCGAATTTCCAAAAATGACAACACCCTTCATGTGGTCAACTTTCATGGCAATGAAATTGTTTTTCACAGCATCAACTGAAATCTTCTCAACAACTGAGAAGTCGAAGAAGGGAATCGACTGAGATAAACTCTCGATTCGTATTGTCTGATAAATCCGTGACACCTGGATAAATTCACAACAAAGGAGTGTAATTACGAATCTGTAAATATCTACAATGTCAGAAACAATGAAAAGAATAACTAAACTATTTACCTGCTGAAGCAACCTGAGGGTAGCAAGTTTCTCCAAATCAGAAACATACTGAGAGAGCTTTACTTCAGGTAAAGAGGGAGCCGAAGATAGCTTCCCACCAAGTTTAGAGATCTTATCCAACAAAGGCTGAATCTTGGAACAAAGATCAAGTGGGTGAAACTCATGCTCCAAAAGATGAAAAAGATCTTTGACCTCCTGAGTTGCACAGCTCAAAACACCTCTAGACACCTAATAGAAAAGAAACAAGTCTCAGGCAAACAACCAAAGATCTAAAGATTCCGAGGTTTAGTTTAAAATTAACATGTCATCATCAAAACAAAAAATGTTTGTGAAGCAAAAATGTTCAAATATGCAACAATTATAGCTATATGGAAACTCACCAGCTCTGAAAGAAGTGACGACCTGGAAAGCTGGAGGAGTAAATACAATTAGACAAGAAGCCAAACACAGAGAACAAAATATGAGAAAGAAGTAGCGAAACGATTTGTGTTACCATATCTCTGCCCTCAAATTTAGGTTCTAGACTAAAACCTATAAGATTGGCCATCCTCAAATTGCGCTCTTTCTCATTCTCAAGCTCCAAATGGGATGCACCATGAGCACGGTCAAAGGGTGGAACAGACAATGCCGCCAAGACAACAGATGATGCTATTAGTTGCAAGTCTTTCTGGCTCAAGTTCTTATTGAAATTTTTCTGAAGACTAAATAGCTTGAACCATGCATAAGCATGGTAAAGATGGCTAGATGAAACCCAGAAAATCTCAGTCAGTTTGGAATAATAAACCATCAACAAAGATGACTTGGGTGTTTTCTTGACCATGCACATCAACCCATAAATATCTTCCACTGACCGAAAAGCTTCCTGCAAACAAAAAAATGCACAATTATGAGACCTATCCCCATGATAGCAATCAGGATAGGGGCAGAAAAAGTAAAACCGAATATAAGCAAGAAAATAACAGCACAGCGGCATTCTGTACATGGGAACAGACCACACCTGCCAAAGTTCAAGCTCAGTAGCAACTTTTAGCTGCTCAAATCTTGTCTCCAGATAAAGTTGCAAGCTCTCAGGGGCTGATAAATCGGGCCGGTCCCTTTGATCTCTGTATTTGTTAAGATTGGCTAAATGATTTCTGATCATTTCACAGAGCCTCCGAAACTCAGTAGACCTTTTGTACTGCTTACAGAACTGGAAGGCTTTATGTGCAGTCATCTACAAGATAATTAAAAAGCTCAGTGAAACAACCTTATATGCCTCAGACATGTCTCTAAACCAAACTACAATCAGAAGAAAAACCAAACAAGCATTTCTGTGATGAAGAACTAACCGCATACAGCCCTTCCAACTTTGAGTTGTTTCGCAAAATCTCGAGAACTGTTCTGTAAGTTTCCCACAAAAACTTAAACCATGGAGTGACCAGCTCACGGTCAGACCTGTCTTTTCCCTTCTCTCCACTGACAATACTAAGCATCAGATCTTCAGGCCTCTTATCTGCTTCAAGGTCATCAACATCAAGAGCCTCCTCAAGGGCCTCTGCCTGACTACGAGCCTGCTCGGCTTTCTCAGTGGCAAGATGTAAGAAATGCTTGATTACTTCTTCCAAGGAACCAACATTCACTTGCTGACAGATATTACGGTACTGAATCAATCCATCTTTGGCGAACCGACCCCTCCTAAGGTCAACGCAAAGATCGAGATACTTGAACATGATTTTTTCAAGTGGCTTCTGCCATGCTCTGTATCTCTTGGAGGTGATGAGATCATGAAGCGCTTGGAGGGCATCTTGTTTCTGCCCAACGTTGATGAGTTCATCTGCACGCTTCAGTGCGTTCTCTGGTTTTGCGAAAGCCGCCATTCTTCAGATGAATCGCAAACACACAATCCAACCAGCCTGAAATGGAAACTGATTTCACTCAAATATTTATAAAAAACAAAATCACCTCACAGCACAACGACATAAAGAGAACAACCACTTTGGGACGAACCCACCAGCTAGAATACAGTGAACTACCACGAGAATCCACAACGGAGGATTTCGGCCATTCCAGGCGAAAATACGACAAAATAAATATCGCCTCGGACCAAAAGACCCCGTATAGTGTGAATAATTAAGACACGCACCTCGAAAACCTAAAGATCACAGAAGATTCAACGTATAGAATTGATATTTGGATGCGAATTTCAGAACTTCACATAGAAAACCCCAACCAAATCCATCAAAACCGGACCAAAGAAAAACAAGAAAGCAAAGATCCAATAACATGTTGAGAGACAAGAATGCTGGATCACAGGCGAAAATGGATTTCCGGATACAAAAAAAACAAACACGGAAAAAATTGAACCTGTAGATGAGTTGAGAGAAATGATACCTAGAGAATCAAATTAGGGTTTTGCAGAGCGAATCTCCCAATATCAAAAGAGAGAGAGAGAAGGCGAGCGAGAAAGAGAAAGGGATGAAACCCAAAGCGGCAGAGTGCGACAATGAGATGACGGTGTTTTAGGGTATATTGGCATTAGGAACAACTCCTCTAATTTGTGTGGATTTCCAATTCTACCCCTACATTTTGGGAACGGATAAGGGAGTAAGAAATGAAACTTTTTATATAGGGAAATTCCCAAAAAAATCATCCAATTATTGAATAACTATCACATTCATCACGAATTTTTTAAAATTTCCAAATTCATACTGGATTTAAATTTTTTGTCTAAAAAATCATTCGAAATTTAAATTTTAACAAAATCTTCATCGGAACATAATTAATTTTACCACGTAGGCATAAAGCGCTTACATGACGCCTACGTGGCATGTACGTGTTCGCCACGTAGGATACACGTGACATTAATAATAAAAAAATTAAAAAAAAATGTAAAAAAATTATAAAAAAATATGAAAAAATTACAAAAAAATGTAAAAAATATAAAATTGTAAAAATATTTTCAAAAAATGTAAAAAAATGTAAAAATTGTAAAAAAATTGCAAAAAATTATAAAAAATGTAAAAAATGTAAAATTGCAAAACATTTTCAAAAAATGTAAAAAAATTGTAAAAAATTGTAAAAATTGTAAAATGTATAAAATTGTAAAGTTCGTGATGAATTTGATAGTTATCTCGTAACTGGATGATTTTTTTTGGAAATTTCCCTTTTTTTTTAAAATAAATTAAAATTTTATAATTTTTTACAATTTGTTTTACATTTTTTGAAAATGTTTTACATTTTATTACAATTTTACATTTTTTTACAATTTTACATTTTTTTTACAATTTTTATAATTTTTTTGCATTTTTTTTTCATTTTTTTACAATTTTTATAATTTTTACATTTTTTGAAAATGTTTTACAATTTTATATTTTTTACAATTTTTACATTTTTTTGTAATTTTTTCCACATTTTTTATAATTTTTTTACATTTTTTCCAATTTTGTTTTAATTTTTTATTATTAATGCCACGTGTATCCTACGTGGCAAACACGTACATGCCACGTAGGCGTCATGTAGGCGTTTTCTGCCTATGTGGCAAAATTAATCCTGTTCCGATGAGGATTTTGTTAAAATTTAAATTTCGAATGAATTTTTAGAAAAAAATTTCAAATCCAATATGAATTTGAAAATTTTAAAAGTTCGTGATGAATGTGATAGTTATCTTATAATTGGATAATTTTTTTTGGGAATTTCCCTTTTATATAAAAAAAAAGAAAACAATATTATATTTTTCCACGAAACAAAACCTAAATATTTTTAAAATAAAAAAATATAAAACTTTTTAAATTGTTCAAAATAATATAACTATTGGATTAACATCAAATTAAATAACTAAAGTGACGTAACTTCGAAAGTATTGACGTAGTGGATAAAAGTACAAAGGTGACAATAAAAAAAATTTGAGGTTACGATTGTACTTTTATACATTATATCAATTTCGATTGTTTACTTCGATATTTGTCGAATAGTTTAGGTATTATTTTGAATAATTTTAAAAGTTTAGGATTTTTTTTATAAAAAAAATTACTTTTTTTTCGGTAAAGTATTTTTTTTTAGATTTTTTTCTAAAAATATGTAAGGATAATAAATTAGTAATACATTTGGAGCGATCCAAATTCCAAAGTTGTAATGGGTGAGAGATATTCCGTACGACAAGAACATTGGACTTGTGAAAAAATCAAATCATCTTTCACCAAATGATTCCATCAACTCTTTTACTGTACATTCAAAACATGCATGCACGCATACAACCTTTAATAATAATAATAAAAAAAACATGCATGCATGCGTGCAAGGATTATCAATCGGTCAATGCTTGGAACCTTGAGAATGGTTAGAGAGGTGGTTGAAATCTCGAAACGTTTTTTTTATAACGAGGATGGTTCTCCAAACTTTCGACTCGATTACATCCACCCTAGACCCGAAATTATCCTTTGTATATAGATCATTTTGGTCCAGAAATTATATCCCTTCCCATTTTGGTTCAGAAATCTCGAAACGTTATCGTCTATATATACTCACATATGCGACCAAGTCGCCGCGAGCACCGTTTATCTCATAGAACCTTATTCTTCTTGCAGCTTAAGATTGCCAAAATTGGTATTCGTTCCACACGAAATTTTTGTTCTCGTTGAGCTCATCTTAGGACACCTGCGTTATTTTTTAACAGATGTGCTGCCCTAGCCAAACTCCCCACCTGACAATGTCCTCCGCTCGGATCGGCCCGCAAAAGCGGACCTTGGGTCCAAAAAGAGGGACAGTGCCCCGCCTCCGACTCATCTCGAGAATTGACCGTGCATCGCGTATTCGGGAGCCATGTAACCGCTGAAACACACACTAAACCCGAGTTTTCGGGCAACGGAAAAAAGGATAGGCAACAGTTAATAAGTGGCGGGTCAGGGCAGGACTTACTAGGTACCAACTATCCTTCTGGTATTGGCTTGAGTTTGGTCCATAGATCCGAAAATTCTTGCCATCCCAAAATCCGAGATTTTCGGGTTCATATCATCATCCAAGAGAATGTTGCTCGTTTTGAGGTCACGGAAATTGTGAGGCGTGAATCTTGATGAAGATAAAGAAGCCCTCGGACAAATCCCTCTGATAATCTTGTACCGTCTTTTCCAGTCCAGCTCGCCTTGCTTTACATGGTCTCTGCACATACATATTATATACACACACACATGATCGGTTACAAGATTAGCATTCCGTGTTTCGAGCTCGGAAGAATTTCCTGAAGTATAAGCAAAGAACCAAATGCAATGCACCAAACAAGAAATAGTCGAGGCTTTTGTTGGGCACAAGCTCGTACACGAATATCATTTCTTCTCCCTACAAACAGAACCGAAGAAGCCTGAAAATCAATAAATGAATTAAATTTATAAACAACTTTTGAGGTTAATGGTGATGATGTGATTTGATCTATAGTTTATAAAATGAATTAAATTAATTTGATTAATTCTATCTTTTTATACTCGGAGAATAGGTTTTACACTTTTGAAAAGCAGTTCCCCCTTCCAGAAGTAACCATGTGTTATTTCAACCGACTACGTAATTTTGTCCTTCCTTTTATATATAGATTTAATCCGATTTGATTTGTTCTAATTGTTGTGATGTCAAATAAAATTTTACGAGATGGCATATAGATTAGTTAGATGTTATGGAATAGGATTAGGATTAGGATAAGAACGAAAACGAAGGCAAGACAAGAAACATCCGAGAGACGAGACGAGGCGTCGAAATGACCAAACGCTTGAATAAATACCCGCAAACATAGTCCGTCGTTCGAATCCAAACCCGAAAATCGATTATGTCCCGTTGACGGATGAATGGATACCCCATTTTCAGATACTCACGGTTTTCACATCGGTTTCTCGTAATCGAACCGAACCGATAAACTCGATATTGTTTCCAAATCGAATATTAAAAATCCGAAAAAAACTGGAAATTTCTCAAAATTATATATATTTCTTAATAAAAACTGAGCCAAACCAAATTGAATGTAATATAATAACTAATTGATATATATTTTTCTACAACCGAAAAACTCAAATCAAACAAATACCGAATCGAAACCAAACCAAAATAGCGATACCCGAAAGGCGGATTTATCCAAGAGGTGACGGTTCCTTGATATAAGAGAACAATCACAAGCCTAAAGGGTTAACTGTACACAGGAAGGAACCCAACTGAATAGATACAGTACAACAAAGGGTTCCTCTCTCATCTCCTCAACTCCCAGAACCCTAAATTCTACAATATGTCAGATGCGAGGACTGACCACTGGTACTCTTACTCGGTCAGGTTTCATGCCGGGTTGGGGGGGTTTGACAAAGGAAGGCAAAATGGCTTCACTTCTCGGTGTCTAGGGTCGGGCTCCCTTTCTTCGGGGGATCACCATCAATCTCCCGAGGGCTAGCCATACTCTTTTCGACATCCCCGGATTTGGGTGTGGCGCTGGTTGGGGCATCTATGGTAAGAGTTGATGCTTCATCCCTTGGTGCGTACCACAAATGGCCACAGGCAATGCACTCCAGCTGAAATTAGAAAACACGCGTGCAATTCCACATCCATGAATAGACCCAGTAGTAGTATATAAACAGATTCATGTCAGTCAGATGTACTCGTGGCCATTTTGGTTCAATTATGTAAAACCAAATGGTTATGATTTCTTTACAAACCGAACCCGGACCGAATATAAACATAACAAAAAAATGATTTTTTTTTTGGGAAAATGAGTCAATAAAAACAGAACCCGCCGTACAAATCACATAGGAATAGATAGTGTTACACTACGTATTCTTGTCCAGCCTAGAAATATCAGATTTATGTTGGGAGAGTCAACCCAGCAACTTTCTCGAGGGCTAAGTGACCAAAACCATAGACAATCATCCATTACCATGATAAATGAGAAAAGTTCCAGGCTGTGCTTTAACTCTAGAGTGTCATATAACCCTCACTTCGCCTCCAATTTCAAAACCTTTCACGTGTTAGATAAACTCAAGGACAGAACCACCCCATGAGAGAGCTCATTTCACCATTCCCCTTTCTTTTCTACAATTTTCAAATTTCAACCACATCATTTATAACACAAAAGTAAAACAGAAGAGTAAAATAACAGAACCTGATAGCAATCTCCACGCCCAGCCTGGATGATGTCCCTCAAGCCCACTTTGAACTGATTGCATCTCGAGCACCGAGCATTAGTCATCTGCCTCACAGATAGAGTTGCAAGAAATGAGCAATAACACACCAGTCTAAACAATTGGTTAAAAAACACGTTTTCAGGGTCAGAGAGGAGGCGGAGGACCTGCATTCGCTCGGAATCATCAGGCTCCTTTGTCGCAGTTTCTTCTGCTGTCAAACCCTCCTGATCTCGAAAAATCACTCTACCGTGTCAAAAATGTACAAATCGATATTTCTTTTCTCATTAAGCATACATTACTTTCACTTTCGTGGTTTTTTTCTCAAACATTCCAAAGTAAACTGCATCCCAAAGATGATATTCAGCATTGATCTGTGCTTCATACCACAGGAAAAAATGATTCTACATGTGAAAACATCAAGATTCAGATAAAACCTGTCTTTCAGACAGAAATATCATCTTAGACCGTAAAATTCAGGAAAAGGATAACTCGAAGGAGAAGTGGAGGAGAATCTGCAAATATCAAGCATAAAAAAGGTTTTGACCTTTAACTCAGCAGGTGACATGTTCAAAATCTTCATGGGTTCTAACTCCCCACTGAGCAGCCGTCTAGCTAGTAGCGGAGTATTCTGTCGACAAACAAAAGGGATTTAACACCAAATACTCAGAATAGAAGAAAAACAAATGAACGCACAATATTGCAGACTGAAGATGAGTGTTTGCAGCAAATGAGGACGTCTCTACAAACTTTATCCAACATAGACAAACACATTCTATAAATATGAGCGTAAACGTCAAATTTCATATGGCATTTCAAAATTTTTTTGTATTCCCATGTGATAGGAAAGTGTCTAATAAGCAAATTCCCGAGAAGTCTCATAGCTATTTTTGAGATAAGTTAATTCCAGTAGCATATATGCATGAGAATCATGCATTGACCCAAGATCAGGAACAAGAATGGAGGACTACAAATCCTATGAAAACAAAAGTGAGGAATACAGCTCTAACCTTGAGATTGAATACCAACGACCTCAACTTTTGATTGTATTTTTGAAAATCTGAGGCCAGTAGATCATGTGAAGCCTGCTCAAGAGCAGAAACTGCAAGGACAGCATCATCTGGCCAGAGAAAAGCATTCTCAGCCTGCCAAACGGTTCAAGGAAAAGACTGCTTTAGCAACTACAGAACCCTTTATGCATGTTATACAGACAGCCTCGTGCCTCATTGTTTATCCTTGTCAATTTGGGCAGGATTACATGAGCAGGTGATCACCAAGAGAGAGATATAGAGAAAGATAGAGGGAGAGAAGAGTTAGCTTTGAAGCATGATCAAACATGCTTAAAGAATTAGCAAGGACCTTTGATGTTTTTTCTTGAGATCCATTTTCAGGCTTCAAAACTTTCTCATCCTTTTCATGGTGGTATCCATCTGAAGAAGTCTTTTCCTCAGCACCAGCTTGTTTTTTCTCAGGGATGTAACACACGTGCTGAACTGCTTGCAGAAGCTTCTCCAGACCCTTGTCGCGATGATTATCACCTGTTAGTGAATCAAACTTCTCCAACATAGACCGATACTCCTCTGAAATAACCACAGCGCTTCCGGGCGTCTCAGCTTTCAGAGAAGCGTCTTCCTCCTTTCTGACATCAACAGGAGGTATGTTCTTTTTTCGAAGAGATCTTTTAGATTTCACCAGATCCTCTTGATCAACAGGTGCTTCATCTGGTTCAAGGTCAGGAAGATCACCCAATCGCAACATAGTCTTTTCCACAAGGAGGTCAATTTCATGCTGTTTGGTATCTTCATAGTCTTTGTCAGTCAACTTCCATAGTTTCTTCTCCACAGTATCATACACCTTCCGCACGATAAAACCAGGGTGCTGTTTGCGGTTCGGAAGTTGCTTATCAGCAGGGACAAAATGCACCACGCATTTGTGCATTACAGATTCTGCTGGGACTTCATCTCGATGGAAACTGTAGAAGAGCTCTCGTGTATCGCTTGATTGCCAGTTTCCACCACCCTTCTTCTCAGCCTCTTCCGGACGATAAAACCACTGTCCCAGGACCATCGTGCTTCCGTCTTTGGATTGGGTAATATCCTGTCAACCAACCAATTACTTCCTTTGAATAAGGACGAGTGATAAGGTCGAAAGAAAAAGATTTGAAACAACACCAGCACCTTAATGATTGCAACATACGGCTTTTGATTTTTGTCCTCCGGAACCAACAGCACAGGATCCTCCTGTGGAAAGGGGAGCGTAAGGCAGAACAGAAGAAAATGGTCTGTGAGCTTCCAAACTAAGAACAAAGTACAAACAACCATACCACTATAGCGAATCTTAATGTATATAGAAACCTAAGCATACATGTGCTAGAGGAGACAAAACATAGGATACACAAACAAGCTAAACCTCTATGCATATTCAGAACTGAATCCATTCATACTTCAGTAGAAATCTCTGCTCCAAATTAGACAGACAACTAGTTCTCCAACAATGTCATGTCATGCAAGTTCAGCATAATGAGGACAACCATGACATTCTTAGACCACTGGTTACAAGCATAGCTGTTCAAATCAAATAACAGAAACTTCTAAGACAGTGATACAAACAAGGAAGGGCACAAGGTAGACATAATCATAATCAGCCAAAATATATCTTAAAAAAGCGAACACCAACCAAGTTCCAGAAAACACAGTCTCGATTTGGGAAGATCTCGGCCATCCCTGCATACCTTCTAGTGCATAAAATGAAACTCCCATAAACCTTGCATTCCGCTATCCTCAATTCCAAATTACAATTGGAAAACGGAAACGCGACAAAATTCACGGCCTCATTTTCATAAACGAGGCCGTAACACCCACTAAATATAGTCTCGTGGAAGGGGTTAATCAATAATGGTAGTAGATCACGATCATGAAAACATCATACCCAACTCTATCCTCCACTATATCAGAAGAGCCGGAGCAAGAGCATTGTGTAAATCATAGCAATAACGGTGCCCATAACACATAAATTTCAACACCATATCCTAAGATTACATCCATAATCATCAAGAGGTGAAATCCAAGCAAAACACAGAGGAGAAAAGACCCAGACTCCAGAAAACGTAACATAACCCTAGAAACCCAACAGAGTACACAATTGCAGACAAAACACAACTCACCAGTTCGTACTTGTTTCCATCGTACTCAAACTTGGCGAAGTGGTTCCTCTTTCCCCTTCCTTTACCCGTAACTTTAACCAATTTCCCAATCGGCTTCGCATCGTCCGGTTTCACCTCTTCCTCCTCCTCCTCCTCTTCCTCCGACTCCGATTCGCGTTCCTCTTTCCTTCCCCTTCTCTTCCTCTTCCTTTCAATTCCCCTCAATTCCACACCGTCTTCGTCTTCGTCTTCGTCTTCGCTCAGCTTCACCTTCTTCCGCTTCCTCTGCCTCCTCTCCGTCTCTCCGGCGCTTGAGTTCCGGACCTTACGCCTCGTCAATGGCGCATCATCCTCCTCATCACTCGTCGACACTTGCGCGAATCGCCGGTTCACCATCTCTCGCAAGGTTTCCGGTGCCGGTCAAATTTCGTAGATCGTTTGGGCCCCTTTACTTTACGACAGAATCGCTCACCAGGTACATTGGGCTTTTATAATTATTAACCCGCCATGACACGTGGGTCCGTGACAATATGACGAAATTACCCTCCAGCCTCACTCGAATTTTCCATCTGACCCTATTTGAGAAAAGCTCGATAAGAAAACGTCGATTAAATAAAAAAAAATATAAGTATCCCATTGGAGACGTGTAAATTGAAGAAGTGGCGGCGAGGAAGAGATAATCTCTATCCGCAAAAATCATTCTTTTTTATTCTTTTAAAACGATTTCCTCAGTCTGTGTTATAGAAATCCAAAATATATTATTATCATTAGTCTTCATCAAAAAAAAATATTATTAGTCATATATATATTATATATATATATATATATATATATATGCATCTGCTTTTAAAAAATTGTCAGTTATATAAATATTTTATGTGAAATTGTTGCAACGCAACGCAATGGTCCATAGCTCAGTCTGTATGCTGTATCAGGGTTCGGCGATCGGGCGGATTCGCTTTAATCGGATTCGGTTATTTCGGGTTTAGGTATTTCGGATTTGAAATATTCGTATTCAATCGGATATATATTTTTAATCGGTTCGGTTCGAATTCAAATCGGATCAGATCGGATTCGGTTCGGTTTATCCAAACAAAAAAACGATAAAAAATTCAAACAATTATCTTATAAAAATAACAAAAAACAACATTAAAATACATACATATTTCGTTTTTTTTATATACCATGGTTATAAAATAATATCATTATACTAATTTTTTAATTAGATTTAAAATATATTACATATTAATTGATGATATATGGATGGATAAACAGATATATTCAGTTATAGTTAATTCGGATTCGGTTTATTCGGTTTACGGTTATTTTGAGTTTGAAATATTCATATCCAATCGGGTATATTATTTTAATCGGTTTGGTTTAATTCGGATATATATCGGTCGAATTTGGTTCGATTATTTCGGATTCGGGTATTTTGTTATTGGTTTTTGTTGTTGAAATAATTTAATGCAAATTAACATTCCAAGGGTCCATAGCTCAGTGGTAGAGCATTTGACTGCAGATCAAGAGGTCACCGGTTCGAACCCGGTTGGGCCCTATTTTTTTATGTTTTGATAAGCTTGAGCTAAACCGGTTTAAACGAAGCTTCAGTAGCTCTAATAAGAATGATACGTATTTTAATAGGAATGGTATGATTCTAACCTATATAAAGAGAGAGCAATTCCCACGTGGCCGAGTCAAGGGATATGATGACCACTCTCGTTTATTATTATTATGATTGTGTAGTGACTTACAAAATAGACACACCATGTTCTGGTAACACATGTCATCCTATATAATTTCGGATTTCCGAGGTACTTTATCCATATACAATATTGTGTAATTTTTTTTTACAAATGGTAGCGTTTTAATCCATCTAAATAATTATTGATTTCAACGTGAGAGACGCGTGATCTCATCATCTAATCTGATTTACGTTTGGATAATATTTGGACAGAAAGGCTTACAGATTTTTCCAAGGTAGGTTTAGAAAGAAATAAAAAAAAAACCCATAGAATTAAATCCGCAATCAAATAGAAAATAATAAAAATAAAAACAAGTTTTAAGAAAAAAAAATAAAATATGAAAATAAACATACTTAAAAGAAGAAAGTTCTGGATACGCTCCCTTTCTCGCGCTTCTCCCCTCCTTTTGGGCCCCACACATCCTTTTTCTCCTTTTTGCCCTTTCATCTGTTTTTTTTTTAAATTATTTTTTCTTTTTTTGTTTGGGAATTCACGATCTCTCTCCCTTATCAAATATCAAGTCGTCCGTTCTGACCGGAAGTTTCTAGAACTCCGCACCAAACAGCTCTCCCTCTCTCGGTCACAGTTTCTATCTGGATTCAGGATTGCGTTTAATCCTCTGACCGCCTGGTTGGTGTGAAATCGGAGAAGAGACGCGAATAAACAACCTGAAAACGAAAGAAGCCTCCTTTCTCCCCCAGCTGTAACAATCTGCGTTCAGATCCCATCTGATTGTCTTTTGGGTATGTTGTGTTCTTTGCTTCTCCTCTTTCAGCTCCTTCTTGTCTTTTTTGTCTCCTCTTTCTCCTGCGCAGAAAAATCCCTGCAACTTTTCTTTTCAGACAAAAATGATGCTGTTTTTTTTCCCCTCGAGTAACTGAATCTGATCTTATCCTGTGTCGGAATATTCCAGTTCCCACGAAGCTCCTTCAGGTCCGGATCCAAGGCTCATGCCAGGCGAACAAACCGGAGAATCTCCGACAACTGCCGGCGGAGATTCTCAGAGGTCACTGCCGACGCCGTTTCTGACGAAAACGTATCAGCTGGTGGATGATCCGACGGTGGATGAACTCATCTCATGGAACGAAGATGGATCCTCTTTCATCGTGTGGAGACCTGCCGAATTCGCCAGGGACATCCTCCCTAAGTTCTTCAAACACAACAACTTCTCCAGCTTCGTTCGTCAGCTCAACACTTACGTCAGTCTCTTCCTCTGTCCGATTTCCGACAATTTCGGGTTCCTTTACTTGTTCCCTCGCTTAATGTTGGAGCTTTGACATGGTTTTCAGGGTTTTCGGAAAGTGGTTCCGGACCGGTGGGAGTTCTCCAACGACGGTTTCCGGCGAGGAGCCCCCCCCCCCCCCCCCCGCCGTGACTGTTGCGGCGGTGCCCCTGGCTACCCATACTATCTCCCCGTCGAATTCCGGCGAAGAACAGGTGATATCGTCAAACTCTTCTCCATCGGGAATTCTCCAGAGGACGACGAGCTGTACCACGACGCCAGAGCTGATGGAGGAGAACGAGAGGTTGAGGAAGGAGAATGTTCAGTTGAGTCACCCCCCCCCCCCGCCGTGACTGTTGCGGCGGTGCCCCTGGCTACCCATACTATCTCCCCGTCGAATTCCGGCGAAGAACAGGTGATATCGTCAAACTCTTCTCCATCGGGAATTCTCCAGAGGACGACGAGCTGTACCACGACGCCAGAGCTGATGGAGGAGAACGAGAGGTTGAGGAAGGAGAATGTTCAGTTGAGTCAGGAGTTGACGAAGCTCAAGGGGTTGTATGGTGGCATACATACCCTGATGACGAATTTCTCTGCTGGCCAGGTGGACTGTGAGAACTTGAACTTGATGCCTGAGGGGAAACCATTGGATCTTCTTCCGGGGAGGCAGCAAGCGGTGGCGGTTGCCTCCAGAATGGAAGAAGGGATTGGACTGAATCATGATGATCTGAATCCAAGGTTGTTTGGGGTTTCTATTGGGGTGAAGCGGGCAAGACAAGATGACGAAGTGGTGGCAGACGATGCAGAGGATGAGGTTGAGAATGAGGAGAGGCAGCAGAGGGGAAGAAGGAGTGATTCTCGGGAGTGGGGACGTGGATCGGATGTCAAGTCAGAGCCGATGGAGGAGGAGAACAATTCTGATAATCGAGATGGCCCGTGGCTTGAGCTCGGGAAATGAAAGAGACTAGTAGCGATTATTGCCGGGCAGTAATCCATTTCTTGGCTCTAACCTCTGGAGAGGGAAAGGAAACCATTGACATCGAATCAGCAGATACCCAAGAGATGGCTGCAGCAGAAAGAGGAAAATGTTAGGTGAAAGGTAGAAAGAAAGCGAAGACGGGAGAAAGATTCAATTTGTTTTGATGTCTCTGGGGATTGAGGTTCTTGTCTCTCTTTTTTTTTCCCCTCACAAACACAGGTATAATCACAGTTCCACCATCCCAGAGTTGTCCTGCTGTTGCTTCTTGGATCTTCTTCTCGATGGAACTGAAACTGCTCCTAACAGTTCCTGAGAAAGCAGGCAGACTTCAAGGCCAAGTCCTCATACTCTGCCAAGAACACGAATATTAGTGTCTTTAGAACAGCATGTCCTTTGAGGTTTGGGAAGAAAACCCTGTAAAGAACTCCTTTGTACATGTAATTTGTTTACGGAGAAATGATAGAATCAGATGTTGTTTCTATATCTAATGTAATTTGACAGAAGGGCGGACAGGACAACATCAGGACTTGCATGTGGGATTCTCACATAACCGATTTGAAACCCAAGCAAATCCAGATAACAATTCAGCCACTTAGTTGGCGGAAGGCAGCAAGACAAATCTGGTAAAGGAGGAACGAATACGAAGTGATTGAAACTATGACTCGGGATGTAGAACCATTATAAGACTCGTTGTCACCGGCATTTTTTCACGTTAACTGGAGGGGGAGGCATACCCCTAGGAGGGGATCCTGCCATGTCTGGATTCTGGATTCGAGACGAGAGAATATGAAATCTCCTGATTCGGACTCTATCTGCAAATTCAAGCCAGTAAAAGAAACAACTTCAACAGTCTGCAACAAGGAAGACGTTTGTCATTGTACACACAAACATCAACACTCAAAAGCACCAATTTGATAACTGGGTAAAGACAAGGTGTATTCATCTGCCTTACCCTCCTTCCTGGATTGCTTCAAACGATTTTCCAGTGATACAGAGTATATCCAAGGTCGTTCTACCATGGAATCTTGGATTTAGTTCCTCGTGTCGTCGTATCTTACTCCTCAAATGATGATGAGCATAAAACATTGGATAAGAACAAGAATATTAGCAGATATCACTAAGAGATAGATCATTCTTTAAGCTCCATTTTGCCATTTGAAACAGTGACACATGCCTTCTCATTCAGATACTCATCTACAGAACAGCGTGACAGATGCAACCAAAAGGCGAACAAGACTCACAACCAAACAAGTTCAGATAACAACATTCACAACCGAAGAAGCGGAAACTCACCGGATTTCACGCATTCGAGGACATAATCGGCGCTGAATCCGTCCAAATCAGCGCCGGAGAGGGTATCAACCGCACCAGAACGAGTCCGTAGCTCCGTAATCAAGTCCGACCCGCGACTTGAGAAACTCCAGGGGCTTGCGGCGATCGTCCACGTTAACGCTGCAACAGCGAATTGATCCATCTCCGACACCGTCGGAATCAACTCCGATCAGAGAACAAACACGGTAGAGTAACTGAGCTGTAAGTAGAAGAGAGCCGGTGGAGAAGCTTCTTCTTCCGCGTCCTTGGTTGTCCTTTCTCTTTTCTCCTTCCGCTTAAGGATGGGTTTCGGGTTTTTTACTCAAATGTCTATTTCACGCGTACACAAAAAAAAAAACCTAACACATTAATTTTTTTTGAAAAGACGAAATTATCCTTAACGAATACACGATTTTTATCCGTTCGAAAACAACTTCGTTATTACGACTTCATAATTAATTTTAAATATAGTTACAATTGATTATAAAAAAGGTGACAAAAAAATCATCTGTCTTATTTTAGTGGTATATCAGTTATATGTTAGTCGTAATAAAGTCGCAAAAAATAAAAAGAAAATGTTATTTCAAACTTTTTCAACTAAAAAGTGGATTAAAATTGAAAAAAAAAATTGTTTTTTTCGGTGGTATATGCTGAAATAGGTGCGATCCAAATTGATCATTTGAATAAAAAAACCCCTGGGTTTCGGGGAAGCGCGGGAACAGCGGCAAGTGCGAAAAGACCGAAACGCCCTTACCAATGTTATTTTTCGTTTTTTTCCTTTTATACGTGATCACGTTTCATTAAGGATAAAAGGTCTTCTTTGTGCTTTGAAATCCTGCGTCGATTTTCGGTTTTGGTTCAGTTTTGAACCGAAATGACTAAGGCTTGTTATTATGTTGGAATAGATGGGAGGACCCCCCCCCCCCCTCTTTCATTCCTCACAACGGTTTCAACTCTGAAAAATTAAACTAAATCTTGTATTGACTATTCTCAGCCTTGCCTTTGCAACGACCGTACTGACATTAGCTTCTCAGTCGTCATCTTCCTGCAAAATCTTACCTGAACCCGAACCAGAACCCGGTTTGCGGAACAGGTTTGTCATCCTCCGGATGATATCCTCGAAGGACGGCCGGTTGGCTGGATCGCTGTTCCAAATTTTTAAATCATGTTAGATACAAAAAAAAAAGTGGGAAGGGAAAAATGAAAAGAATGCTGGGTATTTATACTTGTGCCAACAGTCACGAATGATGGAGGCAATCCGTGGATTGAGTCCTTCGGGAACGTCTAGTCGTCGATCCATGAATCCTACCACTCCAACGATCTATTTTATAGCAATCAAAATCAAATTGTTCCGTTAATACAAGTGCATGCACCTTCGATCGACGACAAATGGAGCTCATAAAAGAAATTGCAAGTGGTTCCTATTAAAATGTATATCTGGTTATTTTAGTCTGAATTAATTCGGTTTAAACTTGATTTACATGGTATAAATACTTGTATTTGAAGAACATTTTGAATAACACAGGAAAAAATTCTCCAATTCCATTTCTGAATTCTCTCTCGAATTCAAAAGTTCCATATAATAAGTGGCGTGTAAGTTTATGTTGTTCGAGTTTAGGTACCTGTAAAGAGTTTAGGTGATCCCATGGTACCGAAACCGTCATTAGCTCCCATAAGATGACTCCAAAGCTGAACACATCTGATCTGTTCGGACACAAACAAACGAGGAATTCCGTGTCAGTGATACAGTTATGCATCATACTATGTGCTATAATGCCAAAAAAAAAGGACAAATTCGTTTTTCTCGTGTCAAAATTTTAACATTGTTTCACTGATACGAGAACGGGAGGGAGAAAGGCTTCATTAACATACTTCTCATTTGAAGGTTCATTTCGGAGAACTTCTGGGGCCATCCACTGAGGCTGCATTTCAAAAACTAAACGGCATTAGTTACGCGGAGAAGGTGAGTTTTTTTCCTTTGGATTTCAGTAAAGTGGGATTCCGAGAATCATTACCGTTCCTTTTCCGGATTTGGTGCTTAAAAATGTTGCATTCTTCCACTTTGACAGCCCAAAGTCTCCAACCTGGTGCAGGGCACAGAGTGTTGAATAAGTGAGGCTCATTTTACAACTCTTCAAAGAACAAATGAACAATTGGTACCTTGACATTCCAGTTTCTGTCAACAAGGAGATTAGAAGATTTCAAGTCTCTATGTACGATCGGGGGATTTCTACGGTGTAAGTAATTCATTCCCCTAGCCTACAACAAGAGTGAAACATGATATGTTCATGCTACACATGTGTTTTCAGAACTCTCTCCAGAGAGTGAGTGAGTGAGAGAGAGGGGGAGAGATAGACTTACAACGTCGAGGGCCATTCTTAGACGTCGTTTCATGTCCAATGGTTGATTAGCATTGTGAAGTATTTTGAAAAGGCTCCCCCTAGTCATGGAAACCACAATAGAGTAGTAACCAGAGTGTTTTGCATGTATCAGTTTCACCTTTCTTGTATCACTTAACACCTTCTAACAAGGTTTAACACTTTTTTCAGAAGAAAGTACATAGCAGTCGATAATGAGAAAAATATCTCACCTTGGCATAAACTCCGTGACTATGGCGAATCTTTCTTGCGAGTATACAGCTCCCATAAACAGAAGCACATTTGGATGTCTCAGTTTCTTCATAATGTTGATCTGAAGATAGTTGATCCCTAACTGATTCGTTAGTTTTTCTCCACAAAAATGTTCTCAAAAGTTTAAACAGTACATGAACCGAATACCTATACCTCATTTTTGCAGTCCAGCCAAGTCCCCACCTTGTAATCACCACCAAAGTAAACCTTGACAGCAACATCCTGTTCCAGACAAATCGGGCTAACTTTGTTGGAATGCATTGATACGTTACTATTTTAGAACAATCTTCAAAATTCAGGAAGCTAACCGATCCATTCCAGATTCCACGATAGACGACAGCAAATGAACCTGTGCATCAAGATAAGTTGTCATTAATATTTTAAAAAAACAAATCGAACATCCTAGAATTAGATCTGGTGTATCATTTGCCAATACAAAAAGGTGAAAACTGAGTTAGCGTCTGTAAACCAAATGCACCTTGGCCAACCTCTTCCCTGAGTTGTAGGTCTTCCCATCGTATCTCACATGATGAAACAGCGTTTAACTCATTATTCGCTTCCATTGATGGATTTTGTCGGCTACTGATGAGGCCTACTGGACCAAGGCAGGCATCACCATTTGGCCGAATAATCAAATCATCTTCCATATCCCCCTTCAATGTTGATATTTTTGCTCCTATCACATCTGAAATCATATAACTCTCTGATTCACCAGGTGACTCTCTTTGATTTATTCGCCCAGAATACTGATTGCATTCTCCCGCAGATGTTGCCATGGGTCTTTCCTTAATCACCCCCCTAGTTCCTTTCCCATAAACATCTGAGATTCCACTTTCAGCTCTATTGGGCTTGTCTTCACTGTTGTCTCTAAAATTTGTGACATTTTCTCGCAAATTTGAGCAGGTATCTGCATTAGAAGCCTTAGGGGCTTGCGGAAAGACACTCTTATCGATCACTGTGGTGCCACTGAGTTTCTTGTTCATACCATTTTGCAAGACACTCGTATCATTTTCATTTCCATGGTTGCCTACAATCTTGCTTTGCAGTTTTCCCAGAAACTTATCTGCCTATAATAATAAAAAATCATATCTAAATTAAAAAAGTGACCAATGTGATATGAGATGTATTATGTATTAATCCTTCTTTGAAAATTCTGATGATAAGACCAATGCCATGTAAGCGCGCAGCGGACATGGTAAGACACAACTTACCAGTGAAGCAGAGTTCTCAAACTTTGAAGAAGTAACCTCTGTACCAACTTCGGCTCTGCCCACTGAATTCATTCTCGCATTGGAGGAATCATCTCCATGTCTCTGCGATAGAAGCTTTGAAGCCTGTTTCGTAGGACAGGAGACAGAACAAGCTCAAACGACTTTGGATATGAATCGAACAAGAAAGAAGCAAATATTACTCAGCAACTCATAACATCCAAATACCAGGTTTGAAACAGATAAGGTAATCTGTGGGATATCCGCAATCTGAGGCCTTGGCAAGTGCCACTGAATCTTTTCCACGTTTGATCCTCGCTCTCTACCATTATGTTGAGATTTTCTTTCATCTGGTGGGTGCATCCTGTTAAACAGTGCTGCATCACTTGAAAGCGTAACAATGCCAACAAGCTCACCGTCCTCGTACATAGGGCCCTTAGCCACCAGTGTCATGAATTGTTCGCCTGATCTCCTCTGAAAAGGAAACTGACCACACCACGTTTGCCCAGAGCAAACTTTTTTCATGACATTCCTTAGAGAAGTGCGGTATTCTTCAGCTACAAGCACATCAACCATTCTCTGGCCAACAATTTCCTCGGCATCCCAGTGATACAGACTCTCTGCAGTACGACTCCTGAAGTACAGAAAATTTTTCTCAATTCAAAACATACACATACCTCACTAGGCACATATGAAAGCCAACTGCTTTCCTACGTAAATACATAGGCTAAAAAATACAAGGACGTCAGCCTATTCATGATTTGTATTAAATGGTTCTCAGCTATGCCTCCGTTCTATCTGCTTGGCTCCAAGCTAATAATAGACTTGCCATAGTTTTAAGCAGTGGCACTGGTATCAAATATCTCTTGGCAATAATCATATCTACCACCTAACATTATCGCAAGCTTTCATACAAATTCAGATAAAATTACAGGTATTTTTTCCATTCAAACTCCCATGAACTTCACCAATTGAAAGAAAAAGTAGAAGAAAAAGCTCAAATTTAACAAAATCCAAAGAAACGCAACGGTAGCCATCCCCGCATCAGCTATTTATTTAATCAAAGCATCTATAAGCACGTAGAACAAGACAAATTGCTTATGATGAGTGAGTGTTGTAAGCATCTAAAACTCACTCACCAATATGTAATTTCCCCAGAAGAAGCAGAGTAAACGTAAACCGCGTGACCAAGTGAATCCAACAGGGTCCTGTACGGACTAACCGCGAAGTAGAATCCTGAATCAGGTCCCGTCCAGGACGCCTTCGAATCCTCATCTTCGCCGTCGAACCTCCTCCGCCGCTTCTGCAACAGCCGATCCACATCCTCCCTGAGTTTCGCTTGATTCTCCTCAAGATTCAGGCACCGGTCGAGTAGAACCTGGTAGAGGCTCGCTTCCGACTCGTTTCCGGCCATCGGAGTCGCCGGAGAACCTGTTGAGTAGACGCATCAGGATCCCCTTTGGCATTAACCAGACAATTTAAAAAACAAAACAAATTGTGGCATCGGCATTTGTTTTTTAATTTCGAGCTGGTTCATAATTTCTGCTGACGCAATAAATCATAATAAAATATTAACATAAATAAATATAAAATACGCTGCCGCTCTAAATCATGCAACGTGTCCAACTTCTAATCCGATACTGCCACGTGTAGCATTGCTGATGTCAGTGGCGAGTGGGTGGTAAGAGCGTACTGGATCCGAACCCGACATTGGACCCGAAAGATTATAACGGGTCTATCATTCCGAGAAGCAACACGTATAAAAACCAAATGTAACCGTTGGAGGAGGCAGTTTCACCAAAGCAACCACCATTTTCTTGCTCTGCTTCTCTCAACAAATTGTACCATCGTCTCCGATCTTGCGACGGCGGATTTGAAAATTTCTCCGGCAGAGAGAGCGTCGGTGATTGGAAGCAGTAATGGCGATCGCGTCGGTGGTCGTGGCTTGCGTGATCGCAGGAATCGGTCTCGGGCTGTTTCGAGACGGTAATGAAGTCTCCGGAGTTCAGATTCTTTCGAAATCGAAGCTTGAGAAGTGCGAGAAGACCTCCGCCTCTGGGAATCTCAATTGCTCCAGTAAGATCGTCTTGAACCTCGCCGTGCCCAGTGGATCTGTAAGCCAATCTCTATGATGGTTTCTTAAATTCGCCACTTCCCTGACGAAATTTGCCGGTCGTGTTGTTCTTAAATTTCATGCACTGTTCATCTATATTGTCCTTGTGTTGTTGTTTCAGTTCTTTATTTTTTTTCCTGTGTTTGGTTACATCTAAATAAGAGTGGCGGAGAGGCTTCGATTGTGGCGGAAATCGTCGAGGTGGAAGATAATTCTACGGATAAGATGCAAACAGTAAGGATTCCACCGGTTATTTCAGTGAACAAATCAGCAGCATATGCTCTGTATGATCTGACATACATAAGGGTATGAAATGATTCATTTAGAGTGATTTAGTTCAAAATTGGGTTTGAATAGCATGGGCAAGGTTCCCTGAAATATTCCTTTCTTTATATCTAACTGAAGTTTAAATGCTTCAGGATGTTCCGTACAAACCTCAAGAGTATTTCGTTAAGACGCGAAAATGTGAACCAGACGCTGGACCTGAAGTTGTACAGATCTGCGAGAGGCAAGGGCTCTCTTTTCCATTTTTTTTTTTTTTTTGGAATTTCTTCTGTGATTTTGTAGATATAGCAGCTTGTTCAGGGTGATATAAAGTAGCGACCTAATATCATGGAAAGAACTGGTGATACTTCCTAATTGTGTCCTCAGTATGCTGCAATATGTTCCAAAGTAATACAAAGGCAGCTCAGTTTCAAATTCATTGAAATGAGCAACTTCTTAGTATTCAATATTTGTTGAGTGTTTGACAAGGAACAGAGTAATTGATTTCTGGGGTCATGTTTGATAATTGGCTGTGTTTGTTTGACTGACTTTGACTGATTTTTATGGATGACATTTGACGGTGCTGCACAGGTTGCGCGATGAGAAGGGTCATGTTTTGGAGCAGACTCAGGTATATCTATGCAAATATATTACATCTTCTCGGCTCTGTAACTGCATTTTACATGTTCAGTTCCTCTTCTTCACTCGCATTTTTCTTCCCTGTTCAATGACTTGGCATCTTGGGATCTGCATAAATCAGTTAATCTGTTTCACTCTTGTTTCTCTTCTCGCTGCTTATCAACCTCAGCCAACATGTTGTCCTTGTGGGCCGCAGCGACGGATACCTTCATCTTGTGGAAATGTCTGTACGTGTTCTCTCGTTACATTTCCCCATAGTTTCTTTAAAGGATACAGTTTAATCTGAAAATAATGCTGGATTTAACTTTGGTTAGTTGACAAGATGATAAAAGGAAAGGCAAATACTGCCCATTGTCTTCGATATCCAGGTGACTGGTATGGTTCACCCCTCTTTTTTTCAGCTCTTTTGTCTACAACACACAACTGTTATGCGCTCCCATGAAAGATACTTGAATTCATCAATTGAATGGACATGCGTGGAGAGGAAATGCATGCCTCTCTATGTCCTTCAAATTGTAGCTTTTCCGAGCATGGTCTCGGATAATGTAACCATGAATAGCTTTAAAAGACCTGGATTGCTAAAACAGTAAATGAAGGTTGCAATTATAGACTTAAGGAGCATCTCCCAGTAGTAAGATATCTGTGTTTTATAAACAGTTGGATAGTTCGGTTTGGTTTCATGATACAAATGCATATTTCTCGAGTGACAGCCTTTCTTATCTAGGTACCATGTTTTTGGCATTGGACGAAGGTCACTTGGATTTAGTGTCCGTATTGAGTTGAAGACAGGATCTAGAATTTCGGTATGTTTCCGTAGTTACCCCTCTCCTGTTGTTTCCTGAGTTGTTCAGATTTATGATAATAGTGAAAATTTCATTTTCCTCGCAGGAAGTATTTGTGGGTCCTGAAAATAGGACCGCTACTTCAAATGATAATTTTCTTAGGGTTAATCTCATTGGAGATTTCGCTGGTTATACCAACATTCCTTCTTTTGAGGACTTTTACCTTGTCATTCCAAGGGAGGTACAGAAAACTGTCTTTCATGTAAACTACTATCAATTTGACAACTTGTCCCGTATTATAAAGCTAGAGAACTGTTCTGGTAAAAAGGCTGCACCAGGACAACCAGGGAATTTGGGCAGAAACTACTCGATGTGGATGCTACTTGAGAGAGTGAGATTTACATTGGATGGCTTAGAATGTAATAAGATTGGTGTTAGTTATGAAGCTTTCAACACCCAGCCTAACTTCTGCTCTTCACCGTTTTGGAGTTGCTTGCATAACCAACTATGGAACTTCCGGGAGGTCGGTGCAGTGCTCTAACTCCTTATCCCGGATTTCTGATTTATCTGCAGAAGAATCTTGAGCTATGCATTGCTTAAGGATTCTGACTCAGATATTCATAGATCGAATGCAATTTATTTTACTGAATTCAGATAAAGTATTTAGCTTTTGTTATTACCAGCTTCTAAATCTCTGCTGTTCTAGTTGTATATATATACATATACATTGTGTGTGTGTATATATATTGTATATAACCAATATCATTATTGCACAGGCAGACGTAAATCGGATCAACCGTCATCAACTTCCCTTATATGGGCTGGAAGGAAGATTTGAGAGGATTAACCAGCATCCAGTTATGTTTCACCTTCCTAAGTTTTTTTAATTCAGTGGGACATCGACTAGTTTGTTTTGTTTACTTAGCTTTCCTTATACTTGATACAGAATGCAGGGTCTCATTCCTTCTCCATAGGTGTGACAGAAGCACTGAATACAAATCTGATGATCGAACTTTCCGCTGATGATATAGAATACGTCTTCCAGAGGTCTAACATTGAATTCAACTGTACAACCGCTTAGCTCTTTCCACTTAGAAGCCTCAGCTTGTTTCAGAAAAGCTATAATAAATAACGCATTGTATTTGTAGGAGCCCTGGTAAAATCTTAAGTATTGCTATCCCAACATTTGAGGCACTTACACAGTTTGGAGTTGCTGCGGTCACAACCAAAAACACCGGTGAAATTGAGGCGTCGTACAGTTTAACGGTATTGTCATGACTGTCTTTCTCTGCCGTTTGCTACTTGATTACAGTCTTTTCAACTGATTACATTTCATCTCATGCACAGTTCGATTGCTCCAAAGGCGTTGCCTTCGTCGAGGTATCTCAATTTCTCCCTCTGAAATTAGCATTTGAAAATTAATGAAGGACGGCATACTTGAGGAATTTGAGGATGTTTCAGGAGCAATTTTTGATAATGAAACCCAAAGAGGTAACATCCCGATCGTTTAAGCTGTACCCCGCGACAGATCAAGCTGCAAAATATATGTGTACAGGTGATTCTTATACAAGACTGCTATACTATGCTGCTGTTCTCCGATTTAACTTGATGTCGGAAATGCCTTTTTTTCGTTGCATGTAGCTATTTTAAAGGATTCACAGTTCAGCGAAGTAGATAGAGCTGAATGTCAGTTCAGCACTACATCTACCATACTTGAAAATGGATCTCAGGTTCGTGTTACAACTTACCAGTGAAAGCAGCTCACCTTCTACCCGAAAAATAAACATGAGAGATTTGTCCGATATTATGTATACATTACTTAAATATGGTCAAAAAATTTGTTCCAAAGCAGATTACGCCATTTCAGCCACCAGAGACAAGGGCAAAGGGGTTCTTTGAATCGATTCGGGTCATGTGGAAGAAACTGCGGGATGGCGTAGTCGATTTCATAACAGGAGAAACTTGCAGGTAGATCTAATCCTTGAAGTCACGGACATAGCTGTAGATTTCTTAAATATTTGAATGTTAAGAAATGAAGAACACTAAAGCAAAGAGAGGTGATCTTGCATGATAAAGAAAAAAGATCACTTTATTTCTCATATTAGAATGTACATCCAAGAGTGTTACATATATACATAATATGACAAATAAAATAAAGGAAAGTATAGAAACGGGTAGTTACAGGAAATGGTAATACATGTAGACAAAAGGAAATAAATATGTCTTGGTGTATATGTTGCATGATTCACTTCATTTCTTTATTCTGCAAATAGACCAGAATATATTCTCCATAATTGTAGATTGTTGCCTGATCGTAATCTCCATATTTAGAACTTCCATGCATGTCTTCGTTTCTTGTTTGTCTGAATTTTATCAACTTGTTCGACCGAACCGTAATATCGTGTTCGTCCGAACCGATATGTTTGTCCTTTAACACTTTGTCCTTCAACAATAGCATCCTAAAACTGTTCCATAACATTTCATAGAAGACAAAAGTGATTAAATAAGTTTCACGTATCTTTTACTTATACCATACTTCATCCGCACGTAGAAGCTGGAGGAGCCGTTATTTCCCTTAACGAAATCGGCCTTGACGATGTATGCAGAAACAAATGCTCGAATTTCTTCGACTTTGGATGCCATATCCAATACGTGTGCCTGAGCTGGTTGGTGTTGTTCGGCCTCCTCCTCGCCATCTTCCCAGCCGGTAAAAATCTCTTCCGGATTAAGTGATTGTGTATCGCTGTTGTGTTTTGTTTAGCCGAGAGATGACTAATATAAAAACCGCAGCGTGCATAGTCGTATGGCTTTTACACCAGAAAGGGCTCTTCGACCCCATCTACGACTGGTGTGACGATCATTTCGGCTCTCCTGATTACCACCACGGCAGATTCCACACCTTAAACTCTGACCGCCGCCGCCACCATCACGGCCACCACCACCGCCGTGTCGAAACACAGCACCGGCGCAGGACAGCCACCAATCGGAAGAAGACACGTCACCACCACCACCACCACCGCAAGGAAGACCAAGAAGACGACGTGGAACAACAGAGGGATCCCGAGTATTACGACTACTATATTCACCATGTGCGCAAGGACGGTGGCGTCGGCGTCGGCAAGCAGAAGCATCGCCGGAGGACCAACCACCACCATGGAAGCGTCGCACGTGACTGTCACGTGAGAAAGCTACGGGGATAGGATGTGGAAGGCCTTTTTTTTCTTCTTATTTTTAGCTTTTCCCTGAACGTCACGAAAGACAATCAGCCAGCCACATTCCGTTTTGTTATTATGTAAAAGAAAACTCTATTATCATATATCCTTTTGCAAGTGTGTATTTTTTGAACATAGGGGGTTTATCATATGCTTACAGTAAACCGAAAACTGAAACGTAACCTAAAACAACACAAAATCTATCCTCAGACTACAGGCCCTTCCGCTATATTTCATTTTTTGTTTCCACTCAAGAGTAAGAAATGGTGAAAGAAAGAAAGAAAAAAGGCTACATACATCGATTGTAACTACTGTTATACACAAAGGTTGTCTCTAATTGGATTTAGAGATGAGGAAACGGTCGACGATCTTAACAGAGTGAAGGGGGTCATGGTGGGAAGCGGAAGCAGACCATTTGCTGGGATGTGTTCTGTGATGGCTCATCATCTGTCTGGGCTCCGAATCCCAATCTGAATCCAGCTTCCATTCCTTTGGTACCTGCCACCACCCGACCAATGCAACTTCTCAAACTCCCAGTGGAATAAAATTGGGTTTCTTTTATTAGTCCTATACAATGTCAATAGGTTTCTCTCTTCCTTGTACTAGCTAGCGGTGATAAAAATACCTAACTCTAGGGTTGGACTTGGACATGGATACCCAAACTCATACAACAACCCAAAATTCAGAAAACCCGAGCCTTGGTGAATATGAGATCGGGACTCCGGGTTGAAGACAGAGAGGCTTCATCGGCCAGGTAACCGAACCAAGGGGTAGCTCATCGGGCAAATGCGGCTTTACCCCGCTAGAGAGGATAGTTTACCATCTTGTATTTTGTTACCTTGTCGACTGCGAGGGTGAAAACTTCAATGTCTCCATCTCGTCGAATATGGAAACGGGTGAAAGACTTGTAATTCGCAATCCGAAGAGAGGAGAAGGCTTCATCAAAGTGAATGTGGAGCCAGTTGATGCATATGTACAGGTAACTCCCAAACACCAAAGACACCACTGGCGTCGAGAACACCCAGAAGTAAAGGAAGACAGATGCGTAATAGATTCCGGCTCCTGTCCGAGACAGCGACTCCATCCCGTCTTTGCAAATGTTGCTCCGGGTCACAGCCATCACCTGATGCATGTGAGAAATCAATAACATCAGTTTCTGCAGGCCAAACTCCAAGAAAAACACTAATCTTTCGGATGTTTATCTGGATTTATGGATAGTAAGGGTTAAATGAATCATTTTTTAAAAGTTGAGGTTTTTTTTCGGGATTTTCCTGTTCCTGCACCTAGACCATATTTCGTATGCATGGAATCAGTTTATATCAGAAGAGGGGATGATGTTTACATTACCTCGGGAACATCAAAAGCCGACATAAGATACTTGATGCATGCCGGATACAGACCAAACGTCCATTGTTCCAGACGGGCTCGAAGGCCTGTCGGATCGGGAAAGTGCTCGCTCTCCACCGACCGGTACCACTGATACAACGAATGATACCCTAAAAAAGTAGCAGAATCACAAGATCAGCTCAACCTTGTTTCACAACGATGCTTTTTTCCATCAATTTACTGTAAACCGAAAAGAAAAAACTGACCGGAAGTAGCAAGCAGATTATGCTGAATACACATTTCTATACCGAGTTCCAACAGCAGCATAAGAATCAAAGCTGCGGTCAGGTGAGCAGAAACATGGAGAATTCCGATTACGACCCGTTTCTTCCGAGACACTTTCGAAGGAACAAATGTGATTGCAGTTATCAGTAACATTAGGACACCGGCCAATGACACATAAGATCGCTCCATTACATACCCAAAGGCACTCCATACTGTCCCGAGGAAACTCCTCAAGTGCCCAGAAAATGAATCATCTCGCAAAATGTGGCCTAGCTTACACTGGAAAACACCATTGAGGAATGAGTTAAGTGACTAGCTTTTGAGCCTTGAAGATGGATTCATGAACAAAGCTTCTTCTTTTTTTTGGCAACATGCAGCAGAAAGGGTTATATGGCATATAGGAAAATGAATCAGAAAAATGCTATAACAATGTCAGATCGGAAAGTTTGTTCTCCAACTCAACAATCCTGAATTGAGGATTCTTCTGGAGACAAGCATTACAGACAGAAGAAAAACTAATGGCATAAGAAAGAACAGATTAGGATGGAATGAGACGCACCTGAGGGAACAAGGAAAAGACCAATACAAAGTATATAATTCCACCAATGAAATCAAACTGCCAGTTCATTTTCCGAAACTTCAAAATATTTCCCAAAGCGATCTGCAATCAGCAGCAAACAACCATTTAATACCCTGATAACGTAAACGAAACAAGTCAATTGGTGAATGGAGATAAAACGGCATGTTACCCTGCTCGAATCATCGAAAGAAGGATAGGCAGCCTTGCTGTCGTACGTAGCACCATAAAACTTTGAAAAATTGCGGAAAACATGTGTCGGATGCAAAAAAGCACCACCACAACCGTTAACAAGAAGATGTTGGACATGGACCGGTCCATCTGATTGAGTACAAGAATGGCGCATATAGTGATGCAAATCCCCTGCCATTCTAAGTTTACACCTTTCTTTCAAGAAATCACATATCAGATGCCTAACGTTCCTCCCAGTATTGTCGTTCCAGTACCAATCAAGCAACCAGTTTGGTTCATGTGTGATAATGATCACTGCATCATTCTCCCCAACCTAAGCGGAAAAGTAGAAATTTTACTAAAGCAACAAAAATGCAAATGAATAAAAATGAATTCTATGAAAAAGAAGAGGACAAATAACCGAAAAGCAATAAAATTCCCAGGAGGAAGAAGAATAATCAGTTTAGCATCTTCTACGTGTAGAACCCGAAAACAAAAACAGAAAAAAGGAAGCAGGAGCTACCTTCTCTTTCACTAATTCAGAAAAGAATTTGAACTGGTAGACATCAATATCACCATGAAGGGCTAAGTCCAAACCAAATACCCACCATCCTTTAGGTAGCTGCAAAGCAAAATAGCTTTTCTTCTGGGGCATTAACCAACCACCCAACCAACTCTTGTGGCATATATACCTCATGAAAGTATGGAGTCCATCGAACCAGTCTGAAAAATAACACTCTGATCAGAGGCAATGCCAGCAGAAAACAAGTACACATGCTTGTGTGAGTGAGAAAGAAATCAAGAGGGAAAAATGAATCTGAGAGCTGAGACAAACCATGGTTTCCAGGGATGAGAAAACATTGAGGGCCATCATAATGCTTTAGATCAGATACTCCATTGGGTAATTCAGGCTTGTTGACAGCAATGGAATCGCTTTTATACCAATGGGGAGGCTGGAGAGCATACTCGAAGGGGCAAAAGAGACGGTTTTCATAGGTAAATGCCGATGGGTTGGGGTATCTGCAATAAACCATCAATGGACATATCCATTTAGTTAACCTTATGGCCTAACAAAGCTAACGAACAAGAGAGGAAGAGATGGTAAATTTATGTGCGACTTACGCAAGATCTCCCCCAATAAGCAGCAAGTCACCTCGTGGAAGAGATAGAGACCCATCACCCGATAAAACTTTGATCGAAGGCTGAGCAAGAAGTTTTGCGACGGTATATGATGAATTCCCACCATCACCGGTATCAGCCATGAAGTCAAACCAGATATCTTCCTTTTCGCTTAAGTGATCATATAGAAGCTCCCTCTTCTCAGCTTCACCATGACCCTTACTCATTGCAGCCTGAAGAATTTATAAAAAAAAGGGTTAAAAGAGAAACCATGAAGAAAAATTCCAATGTGATATCTAGTAAAATCAAACTGCAAAACAAGAGAAAAAAGACCTTGTCACATCATAAACTGTGGATTTATACCTGCATCATTCGCATGTCAAAGCGGCCGAGAAACACTGTCACTGATACCAGGAGGTCAAAAACAGTTTTAAACAAATCAGCTGATGTTCTGCAATGTATAATTAGCCAAGTCAGGACATCCCATTTAGATGCCTCTTCCTCTCAAGAAAACAATAGTAGAATAATATTGAACGCGAAAGGAAGAAGATTATATCACATTAAGCATACCCTGAATACCAAGGAACCATATCTAAAAAATTAGGCTTCATTTGCTGCTTCTTCTGCTTCTCATGTTCATCAGCAGAAAGAGGGTGTGTAAGAGCCCACCTAAACAGCATAGAGAGCATCAAAGTAAAACATAAAGGAAGACAATAAATAAACAACAATAGAGATATTAGTCTGTACATGATATAAACCCTTTTCGGTTGAAATGTTTACTAACAGACATTATGCTAAATATACTACTTACCCTGTTGATCTCTCCACAACGTAATTAGCAATGTAAAGACCAATAAATGTTGCCCACAAAGAGTAAATAGGAGATATCTCATCAGATGAATCAGGACACGAGCCATTGCACGCCAACTGCAGGTAGACAAGAAGGAGAAGAAATGATATTTGGTAGCACAGAAATTAAAGGTTGATCAAATAAACAATTGAACAACATAAAAACTGAGAATCAGTTTCAGAATAGTGTACCTCCCCATAAATGACCCATTTGGATAACAGTGGATAATCACTTGCAGATCCAACCGGAGCAAACCATGATGAGCAGACTTGGTCTTTCAGCTCATGCATACGAATGAACTTCGCAAGCCATGCACTGTGCTTGCCTTCTCTTTTCCAGAATGGAAACCAGCTAAAGTGCCTTCTTTCAAGAGGTCTTTGCCTCATAATGGCACGGTTCCCACAATGACTGTAAAACACACAGCATGCTATGCTAAGAACCTACAAGAAAGAGAAAAGTTAAAACAAGAGTACAAAAAAATATGTAAAAAAGAAACTAAGTGGCGTTGAGGTACAATATAGGGAGTGGAGTGCTTACAGCACAATTCTGAAGAATGGTTAAAATCTCCGGGCGCTTCCCAGCCACACGAGAGACAAGACCGATATACCAAAGGCCAAGAAAAATGATATGGAAGACAAGAAGAAAGACTATGGACGATATGTAAATAGTTAAAAACAAGGACAAATTCATCCTCAAATCCAAGCCCATTGACTGAAAACTCGGAAGATGGTACAATGCTGCAACTAAAATCCAAGCAATGTACCTACAAATATAAACAAAGAAATAAAAGAATAGCCTGAAAGGAAA